TTATTCAATTCAGCTTTGGAGTCCTACTTCTGTTAGATGTGTGAGTGGATTTCTCCTTGATTGATGGACTCATCTATTCATTCAACAAATATACACTAAGGGCCAGTCTTGTGCAAGGAAGGTCCTAGCTGCTGCTCCCCAAATCCAAACCCTAGGTTTTAAAATGCCAGTACTTGGGATATTCACAAAGTAGGAGCCTCAGCTTAGAAGACAGTTCAAAATAAGAGTTCTCAAAATGCTTGAATAGTCACCTCATTAGAATGCTTATCAACTTTCATTTAGATATTAAAAATTAGTTTCATTACTAAATCGTCATGATATAGTGTGTATATCAAAGTGATAACCTATAAAACCAAATACACACACACACATATATCATACTAAGTAATTATACACTAAAGGAGAGGGAAGTTGTGCAAATCTGTACTGTTTAAGGGAGAAAAGAGGACTGGGGAGAAATTAAAACAAGTGATTAAAATGTAGACTTGTCTCAATACTTTTTTAAATAACCAAGAAAAATATTCATTTATCAATTGTAGGTTAATGGACTTATCACTACCATAGGTTTACTGAAAAGTACAAAAATTCAAAACTATAAATTCATATTTTAAAGCTGAGATTACTATACAACATATAGGACCAACTTCAGGGAAAAGTAAATATAGGTGCTATATAGTACCTGTAGCCCCTCTGGCTACAAGCCACCCACTTTGCCAATCATGGGCCCAGTTTTACTGACCACTTTCAACACCAACTTTTCTCTCCTAAAAAGAAAAAAAAAGAAATTTGATAACTTTACTTCCCAGGCTTACACACTCAGTAAGAATATCCACCACACTCTAGTTTTATATCATTTATCCCATGATAAGTACCATAGGAACCCATGTGTGCCTCCCAACAGCATGACAAGACACATGGGAGAAGTCAACAGAGACCAGACAGGTTGTGAGAACACAAGAGGGTGGAGAGGCTGGAGGTGGAAGATATAGAAGCAAAGTCAGTAAAGAGGGAAAATTCTTTCTTCAGGCTGGCTGAGATTCCTGCTTCAGCAGTCCCAAAGAGCACAGGCGACACAACATCCTGAAGTGCTGATGCACCCCCAAACCATTGAAGGTATAGAACTCCATCACCAGGTCAAGTTAGGCTGCAACCACAGGAAACACTGAAACCACAATAGCAAGGGTATCAAATGTCAGGACAGAGTGGATATATCAAAGACCATTCCCCCAGGTGGATTCCAATTGTCCCAGAGCACTTAAACAGTTGTTCTTGAAATTAAAAGAGAAAGCAGGCAAGTGCACAGGCTTTGAAAATAACGTGTACAGAAAATGAAAACTACCGGCACATATTGAGCTAGTCACCCTGTATGACAGCAAGCTTACACAAAAGCAGCTGTTCAAATTATTTTGTAGATTGACTCACCGAACAAACTTAGAGTCATATGATGCATCTGCCAAAGTTAAAGCCTGCAGACCGTGTTCTCAGAGGGTTTGTTGATAAAAGGATTTCAGGAGTCCTGTCTCTAGCCTAAATGCTTGCTGAAAATTAAAAAAACAAAAACAAAAACAAAAAAAAAAAAAACACAGTCTCTGCAAGCAAGCAGACTTGTCAGCAGAGCCTTGTGCTTTCATAAGCCAGGTTTGGGACTTTACAGGCCCTTTCAGAAAGCCCCCAACAAGAGCTATAACAGCCTCTCTGGGTAGTCTCTCATCTGCAACAAAGGATTTTAACCTCCCACCACCACCTCCCCATAGCTTCCTCAGTCACCTGGGAAGATAAATGAAATGCTGGTGTCTGGGCACTGTGAGAATAATACCACTAATATACCAAGTTAGCCTCAAATCCTTTCATCTTCTGGGTCTTTGAAAGGCCAAACACAAACAACCAGCATATTCCCTTGGCCCTGAGGCTATAGCTCACTAATCAGAAACAGAAACAGATCTTTCAGTCTTTTTTTTTTTTTTCTGGAAAACCAAGGATCAGTTCAGTAAGCAAGCAAGCTGCTTCATGGTGAAGTAGCCCTAACATCTACCACCCACACTCAGATCACAATTCTCTTGCTTGAAAGAGCCTGAATGCGGGATCCCTGGGTGGTGCAGCGGTTTGGCGCCTGCCTTTGGCCCAGGGCGCGATCCTGGAGACCTGGGATCAAATCCCACGTCGGGTTCCCGATGCATGGAGCCTGGTTCTCCCTCTGCCTGTGTCTCTGCCTCTCTCTCTCTCTCTCTCTCTCCCTGTGACTATCATAAATAAATAAAAATTAAAAAAAAAAAAAAGAAAGAGCCTGAATGCTTGCCAAGAACTATATAATGCAAGTATGTACCTTCCCAAACTGTATTTAGAAGGGTCCTCTGATGGCTGTGGCTTCCTCATTTCCAGGACCATCCCAACAACAGTCCTTAATAGGGGGGATCCACCCTGTCCCTAATAGGAATGAACTGTGGCACAAGCTAAAACCATTACAAATTAAGTGTTTGGTTGGGGGGGGTAGTCATCCATTAAGCTAAAAGTTAAGCATTTTTGTTTTGAAATAAAAAATTAAAATGGCAAGCTTAACAAGAGATAAACCTTGTACATGTCTATTTAACAGCTTCAAAGTCCAATTTAGAGCATTTGTTGATCTAGGAGTAAAGAGAGAGAATTCTAATAAATGCCCAATGCTAAGGTGCCTTACTGCTGTGCCGCTCTCAACCCAGGCGGCAAATCTATTCAACACTGAGCCTAGTCTCATCATGTTCAGAGTTAGTCAAAATATATACCACTTGTTCTTTAAGAAATGGACATTTAATGGGGCACCTGGGTGGCTCATTTGGTTAAGCAAACCAAACTCTTGGTTTTGACCAGGTCATGATTTCAGGGTCACAAGTTTGGCCCCGCATTGGGCTCCACACTCAGTGGGGAGTCTGCTTGAGATTCTCTCTCTTCCTCTGCCCCTTGCCCAGCTCATGCTCTTTCTCTCTAAAAACAAATAAGGGCAGCGCCAGTGGCTCAGTGGTTTAGTACTGCCTGCAGCCCGGGGTGTGTTCCTGGAGATCTGGGATTGAGTCCCACGTCGGGTTCCCTGCATGGAGCCTGCTTCTCCCTCTGCCTGTGTCTCTGCGCCTCTAAATAAATAAATAAATATAAATAAATAAATAAATAAATAAATAAATAAATAAATAAATAAATAAAATCTTTTAAAAAAATAAAAATAAAAAAATCTTAAAAAAGAAGAAAGGAAAAGAAATGGACATTTAAGAAAGCACTGACCCTGTAATCCAATTTCCATGCAGAAATGGTCACTGAAGTGAGAACGTTTAGCTTAAAATGTCCTTATACGGTGTTATTTCCTCCTGCACGAGCCCAAGGGAGCAGAGAAACTTGAATACCAAACATCCTTCCCTACATGGAAGACCATAACCCTGAGCTTAAAAGAAGAAAAGGCTAACAAAAAGAACAGGCTGCACAAGAAACTGATCAGAACTATGTGTCTAAGACAGTGAGGGAAAAGAGGGAGAAAGAGAACTGAAGGCTCACAAGCCTGGCTGCAAAGAAAAACAGGTTCAAGATAATGAGGGGGAAAAAACCCAATTCAGACATAGGTTTAAATAATTCAGATCCTGCTGAGCTTTCTGTACTGTGTTTTAATTATAAATCATCAGTAGACTCTCTAAAATATAACTTCCATATGCAAAGGTGAGGAGTCCTTGGATTTAAGGAGGCACTTCATGAGGGAACGGAATTATTCAGGAAGTAATGTACACTCTGTTGCCAACAAAAAAAAAATTAATGAACAAATCAACTCTGTGCTCGCAAAAGTGTTCCTAGGCAAAAATCTTCAAAAGCACACATGGCATTTACTGGGGGGCTGACCTCTAGAATCAACCGTGCTGCAGGGCACCCAGCTAAGGGGAGGAGAGAGGTTGTTAAAACCTTGCAGTGGGGGATCCCTGGGTGGCTCAGCGGTTTAGTGCCTGCCTTTGGCCCAGGGCGCGATCCTGAAGTCCTGGGATCGAGTCCCACGTCGGGCTCCCAGCATGGAGCCTGCTTCTCCCTCCTCCTGTGTCTCTGCCTCTGCCTCTCTCTCTCTCTCTCTCTCTCTCTCTCTCTCTCTCTCTCTCTCTCTTTCTCTCTCTCTCTCTCATGCATAAATAAATAAATCTTAAAAAAAAAAAAACTTGCAGTGATTTTCTACAAGCTGCTGGTGCACCAGGCACAACAGCCACCTTCTTTCATATGTGTAATTTTTTTCTTATAAATACTTTTTCTTCAAATCTTCATGACCCCTAACAAGCAGACAAAAAAACAAAACAAAACAAAAAAAGGAGTAGGGGAGGAAGAAGGAGAAGCAGAGATGCTCCAAAGTGTAGGGTGTGTTTTCCTTCTGGAATAAAACAACCTAGCCTCACTCACTGGGTATGCTGGAAAGTCACTTGAAGCCCTCTTGGATACCTTTGTCTATAAAATGCAGATGACATTTTTACCTCTGTCGTAAGGTTGCTCTGGAGATTAAATCAGGTATCATGTATAAAGCGCCCACCACAGGATTTGCCCAAATGAAGCCAATGAAAAAGTAACAAATGCTACTACTGTTTCAAAGTTGATGGGGTCCTTGACATTTCAGGCAATAACTTGTATATAAATCAATTTTTAACCAAGATAAAAATTTAGAAACAGATTATTAGTAACTCCAGAGAAGGAAAAAAATCCTATTTTGTGTTCTTCAACAAAGACAGTTGCTAATGCTCCTAAGTCTTTGGTGGAGAGTACACCAATCTCATCTCATTACCCACCAGATAGCTCACCCTGCCTCGCCCACATCTCCTGAACAGAAGGTTACTGACTAACATCCTGGGTTCCTGGAAGAGGCTTTTGTAGCAACGATGCAATGAAAAAGCACAAGAACGAAACGTTCCTTGGCCCAATGACATTTGGGCTCATTCTGATACTAGTACTCGAGTCAGAATCACAGATTTGATCCACAGAAGGCTTTATTTAAAAACATGCGGAAGGCACAGTACCTCTAATCGTTGGATGCGTCCCTTGAAAAACATGAAGAGGGAAGAATTTGGATAAGCAGCTTCTTTTTTGAGAAGAATTTCCTTTGCTTCATCCAGGCCTGCTTTGTTATCACTGCCATCCAAGGCAAAAAACGGGCGGACTACAGTATGATACCAGAGCAGAGCCAATCTAAAGGAGAGGGAGAGAAACATTGAGCAAGACTTTTCTTAGAGTGTTTCCACTTTTTAAAAACTCAGTATGTGCTCTTCCAGAACATGCTCCTTCCAAAAAGCTTACTACGCAGTCTTTGAAGATACAGAGTATCTTTCCCCATTTTAATTTTATCAATATTTGGAAAACTTAAACTTCGGCATACCATAGAAATCAGCATACTCCCATCAGGTGAGAGCAGAATAAGATAAAAGCCTTTAGCTCTTCTGAGGCTTCCAGATGGCTCTCTGAAGGTATGGACCGATATAAATTTCTCTATGCACCAATTAGAAACAGTGACTAGTTACCATGAATTTACTGTCCCCTCACAATAAAAGAATTACCTTTTTTTTTTTTTCAAAAGGAAAATGCTATTTTCTCCTGTGTTCATAAAGTTAGAGTGTAAGCCTCATAATCTAAATTTAAATATGGGAACCACAGACACAAATTATTCTAAAATGAGTTAAAATAAGTGAGAGGAACCAGGGGGAAAAAAAGGCTCTTTCTCTGGCCTTTGAGGATGCTTAATTCGAAAACCAAATAATTAGTTAAAATTCCTTTACTTCAAACTCATCCTTTTAAGAAGAATACCATGTTAAATAAACTTGGTAAACAAAATAGATTCATTAGAATCTGCTTTAATGAATAGACAAAAATATTTCACCAACACATCAAATATTGTTATATAAACGTATGCTTCTAGCATGCTTATAAAACTGGTTCTCTTCTGGAGATTAGACTAATTTACATTACTAATTAATTTCTTTCGACAAAATACTAAGATATAAATAGACAAATTATCACATTACAAAACCATTAAATCAAATTAATAAAATACCACTGTTTATGTAATTTAATGACTTTGGGGAAGCACAAATATTTTTGAAATGAAAATTTAATGATATTTTTAATGACTGCCAAATGATTAAGAGTGAATATCCAAATTCCTCAATATGGATAGGCATGAAAACAGAGCTCGTTCAAGTTCTCCATGATACCATTTTTTGGAAAAACTGACAAGTAGTGTAACGTCAAAGGACATATAGTGTCTGGTAAAATTATTCAAACTGAAAAAAAAAAAATCAAGTCATTTTTAATCGTGGAGGAATGGGTAAATCCTTGCTCTGGATAGTGATACCAGCTTCTCCACACTCCTGTTCAAATTATTGTCATTTCAGTTTAGATTAACATGACTCAATTTAGTTGACCAGCACAAAATATCCAAGCCACATATGAGAGAACAATGGACCGACCAGGATCAAAGAAAATCATCAACTATCAGTATTTTCTGTAAGAAAAAAAAATTTCAGAATCACGGGAAAAAAAGGCTTATCAAATTTGTCTTCCTTAAAAATTCAAAAATCAGGATCATGAATCTCAGCAACTGTGGCCAAGGTCACAAAAACTGCTTACAAAATCATCTGAGGTTGAAAAGGATGATCATTTTACCTGTTGAAAATAAGGGACTCATGAGAGTCGAGAATAGGTTCTGCTCTCTGACGTCAGCTCCCAAGTCAGCTTATAAATACCACCCAAAACACAGTTCTCGGCATTGCGTTATAAGACTCAAGGCATCGTGTCAACCAACCAACCTATTTACCTGACATTTCCTTTAAAGGTTTTGATTGTTGTTTACTTACTTTCAACACTATATTATCTACCAAAGCATTGCAATACAGCTACTCACGTAGCTAAAGGGGCCTTCATGTCCTTACTTTCGCTTGCATACATCAGTGAAGAAAGGCCTTGCAGGCGGTCTCCGGGAAAACCCAGCAGGTTGATGATTTTGAGCAGGTTGGGAGGCACCATGGAGATGCAAAGGTGGAAAAGGCCGTATCCAAAGCTAACAGCACCTTTAAGTCTGCTTAGAGACTCCTCAGACACCCCTTCAGCCACAACGTCATTATCATTTGCCGCGTCACAAGTCAAGGGCTCTTCAGTTAGTTTCTTCTGATACAGCTCCTGGAGAGCATTGATGTCCAGATAGCACTTATTGTAAATCTTCCAGGCTTTCCTAAGGATCCACCCACCTTTTATATAGGCTATGGGGAAGGGGAGAAAGCAGGAGAAAAAAATAAGCATTCAAAATAATTTTCCTGTAGTAATAAGGGATATTGAAGAATGACCTGAAATTCAAGCAAAAAAAATTTAAAAAGCAATAAAATGATCATCTCCCATTGCACCTTGTCTTCTTCAGAGGGCTTAAATTACTTGTTTCCCTTTATTATACTGAATGACCACTCGAGCAAGAAACTACTAGTTTTTTTGTTCACTGTTCTATCAAGCCCCTCATACGTGAGCTGGGACGTTGTATAGGATATACACTGAACGAAAGAATAAATGCATGAATGCCAACATGCAAGCATCACTTGAACCTGACTTTCGTTCTATGTGCTCTGTGAAACATGAATCTCCGCCGTGTTTCTGAACTACCATGGCACTTCCCTGATAAATCTCTTTTGGAACTCTGACATTTGTCTACCCTGTGTTTCACTCCTCCTAAAGAGCAAGTTTTAAGTCTAATTCACTGCTAAAAGTATACCTTGGCATCAAGCATGGCAACTTGCCAAAAAATAAAACAAGCAAACAAAAAGGATTTAATTTATACTTACTAGGTGAACAAACAGCCAGTTCATTACCGTATAAGTCATTAGGGTATATGCAGAAATGTAAAGAATCCTCCATTCATCTGTATCTAATGCCTACTGTGTGGCTGAAGCATGCCTTATTAGGATGGCATTATTTGGATAATGAGAATGATGCTCACATGATGCTCACCCTACTGCCCCAGCCTAGATCTAGACAGCTCCAGCAAAGGACGGTATCAAAAAGAAGCTACTTCACACCAGAAGTGAAAAGATGTTATTTATAAAGCTGCTTCCATTATTTCCCATCAGATCAATTTTTAACATAGTCTTCATAGTTTCTGAGAGAAATAACAGACATAAGACTGGGATTTACCCAGTTCCATGTCCCACTGGCCCCTTGCAGACAAGCCCACAGGTCCTGCCTCACCCTCTCTTCCTGCGAACATATTTACACCTTATCATGAGGAAGGGAAGGGCGCAGTTGATGCATCTGTGCTCATCTGAGTGTATCATCACCATACTTTTGAGGAAAGGTCTTCTACAGGGAATTTTCTACAGAAAAGAGCTTATACATACTCAGCACTGTTATCAATATGGCCCCAGTAATCTGACCCCAGTGCACAAGTGGAAGACAAAACAAGCTGTCCCAGAGTTCCAGGCCCTTTGGGGCAGTGGAAAACGAAGTTTGTAAAAAGTTATATTTAAATCCCAGAAAGGGGCAGCCCAGGTGGCTCAGCGGTTTAGCACCGCCTTCAGCCCAGGGCAGGATCCTGAAGACCCGGGATCGAGTGCCGCGTAGGACTCCCTTTGTGGAGCCCGCTTCTCCCTCTACCTGTGTCTCTGCCTCTCTCTCTCTCTCTCTCATGAATAAATTTTAAAAAAAAAATTAATCCCAGAAAGTACATAACACAAAATCTGATTTATAAGGGTCTAATCCCTGAATTGAAAGTGATCAAAGAACACATGGTATTTTGAGAAAAGAGCTACCAGAGCAGGCCCACTGCTATCCTTTGCAAAGCCTGCTTACAAGACTGACCCTTGGCTGGGGTCTGTGAACTTGAACTTGGGAACATTCCAAGCATTCCCAGAACTGATAAGAATGGCTCACTGTGCCTACCCTGCTTGTATAAACAGTACGTTTCATGTCAAACACTTGCTTTCAGTGTTTCATTCCAGATCCCAGGGGTCTGGAATATGGGTATGTGCAAGGCATGGCCAGTCCCATCAAAAACTCTGGATACTGTGTTTCTACCAAGCTTCCAGGTTGATAACACGACTCACTGCCCAGAGAATTAAGCATGTCCTACAGACACCTCTGGGAGAAAACTTTGGGTTACTTGTGCCTGAGTTTTCCTGGACTTCCTCCCATGCATCTTTTTCCTTTACACATTTTGCTTTATATCTTTGCTGTAACAAACCACAGCCACAAGCATGATTATATATGGAGTCCTTCTGGAAAAATCATTGCACCTCAGGGTCCTAAGGATCCCCCCAATCCATGGAATCCTAATATTTAATCAAGTTAATATTTTACTTAAATCTATCAATTTCTTGACAAATGATGACCGTATCCCTTATGGGATCACAATTCAAAACACAACCATCCCATAAGTTCCAAGTTCTAGATTGTTAATGCTCTGCAGACTAAGTCCACTGAAAAGAATACTCAAGATAGGATGAACAAGCAAAACGAAAGTTTTTTTTTTTAAGGGAACAATTTTTATAACTTTATAAAAAGTAACACACACTTAAAACAACTTTCACGTAGTTCAATTTAACAAAAAAAAATTTTTTTGGAGAGAGAGTGAGTGAGTGCCAGGAGTATGGGGAGGGGCAAAAGGAGAGAGAGAGAGAGAAAGAGAGAGAGAATCCTGAGCAGGCTGCATACCCAGTATGGAAGCCGATGCAGGGCTCCATCTAACAAACCTGAGATCATGACCTGAGCCAAAATCAAGAGTCAGGTGCTTAACCGACTGAGCTACCCAGGTGCCCCAATTTAACAAAAATATTTAGTGAGCAAATATTACATTTCAGGTACAGTTTTAGGAGAATCCAAAAGAAATAAGATTAGATCCTGCCTATTAGAGGCACAATGACTTCTCCCTTCTAAATGGAAAATGAAAAGTTGGAAAAAATCCTGAAACTTGTATGCTGACAAAGCACTCATGTTGATCTAGTATGCCCATAAACAACAGGACACGCAGTTATGATCCAAAAAGCCAAAGGTTGAATAGAAAAACAGAAAAAGAAAATAGGAACACAAAACCAATTGCAATCTAATAAAGGGGAAAATGCTGGGTACAGATTTCAAAAATGAAAAAAAGAAAACTTGCAAAATGCTAAAAATGTTAATTTGCTATTAAGTTCCTGTTATGTGCTTAGGACTGTGCTTGGTAACTGAAGGATATTAAAGAACCATAAGACACAATTTCAGCCCTTCAAATGCCCACAATAAAACTGAAAAGTAAAACAAATGAGAAAAATAAGTGCATATATATATCTCTATGTGTTTGTTCATGTGCCCTACCGGGGTCATAGGTAGAAAAATTAAAACAAATCATGTTGAGATGATGGGTGAGTTGTTCTTTAGGTCCTTTTTGTCCTAAAATTTTCTATATAATAAATATATAAATGGATTAGTGCAGAATAAGTATTGCAGGATTTCAGTAGAAAATTTTACTCCCTCCTGCCTCCAGGCCTAACCGGAAATTTTAAGGAAAATGTTTAATTATGTTTTCTCCTGCATTTTCCAGGCTGCTGCAGCTTCACTGGGAAAGCAGAAGTTCCATCTAAGGCGTGTGAGTATGAAGGAGCAGGTGGGCAAGCCGTTCAGAGGCAGAGTGATACCGGGAACACAGAGACCAAAAGGGACACAGGGATGGCATGCTCAGGTTATGGGGGCCCCCTGATGTCCAACTAAGGAATGGACATTTGCACAGGAAAAGCAGGCAATTCCTAAGACTGTGGCTGAGGGGACCACCAGTGTTAGGGAGACACATTGCAGGAATTCAGATCTCAGGTGAAGAAGAGTCATAACAAGGGATCGTGGCAATGGAAACCAAAGCCAAAAATCCATCAATGCCAACTGCACAGACTCAACAACAAAAAAATGACATTGGTAAAAACCCTATTTTTATAAAATAAAAATGTAATTCGACATGTCTTTAATTTCTTGCCTGAGAGAGGAGTTTAGGTGCCAATGTTTAAAAGTGTATGTTAAAATCTGTGGTAACAAGTTGTTTTTAAAAAATTTTTATTTATGTATTCATGAGAGAGGGGGTGATGCAGAGACACAGGCAGAGGGAGAAGCAGGCTCCATGCAGGGAGCCTGACGTGGGACTCGATCCCAGGACTCCAGGATCAGGCCCTGGGCTGAAGGCGGCGCTAAACCTAAACCGCTGAGCCACCCGGGCTGCCCTGTGGCAACTGAGCGACGTAAATAAAACCCAAAGCTCTAAGTCGAAGACTATAATTTGTGCAAGATGAAGTTAATATGCACGTAGAAAAGATTTTGCTTTTGCTACTTTCTAAGCTCAACGCGGCAGAGAAACAGGTTTCCCAGGACTCACCCTACTTCCCAGTCCCAAATGCTGTGACCAAAACATCTGAGCACAGCCACACCCGGCCTACAGAACAAAGGCTGCCCTGGAGTGTGCTCCACAGCAGACAGCAATGCAGCTCCTGCAGGAGGGACCCCCTCTTCGCTGTGAAGCTGTAACAATGCCTCTAATGAGCATACATATTCCCAAAAGGCAGAGAAACAGCATTCAAGAGCCCCACATCCTGCATAGCCCTCCATATGGCTCCTCTAAAAGGTCAAATATAAATCAGCCGCTGCTATCTATGTTTTTGGAGGAAGACACACACAGCAAAAAACCACAGACCATTTGCCCTCCCCTATTAGGGTCAGCCTCAATCAGCTGGGAGATGTAGGGGAGAGAGGAGACTTTGTCCCCATTATAAGGGAAGGGTAGTGTGTGGGGAGGCAGGGAGTGAGAGTCCTTCCCAGGAAAGGGCAGGAATTGTCTGAGAAGTGAAAATACCAAGTTATACTCATTGATGTTGGGATAAATCTCATGGATTTTTCAGCAGGGGATCATATCTGGTGGACCTCCTGCCATCGTACTGTGTCTGTTCACTTGTCCTAGATGAGGCTGGTTAACCCTATAACAAAAGATTAGTTCAGGCTTACCTTTTTGTGAGTCATGGAACAGGCTTTGGGAGAAAAATTGTCTTGGTTTCACTTCCAAAAGACTTCTAAAGGACTCATTTTTCCAATCTCAACTATTCTTGGGGCTCCATGTCATGCAACTTTTTCCTAAATGGCATCACCCATCCTTCACCCCTCCAATTCACATATTATACACCCACCATGTGACAGGGGACAGCACCACATCAGATGCCAAGGACAGAGAGCAAAACTGACTTCCATTCTTCATCAGTCTGCTCAGGATCTTCCTTGATCTTCCCAGGTCAAGTTTCTGAGCTCCTCCTTCCCTGCACCCAATTTGTGACTAACTTACACATCTAGTGAGTCAAGTATTACCCTGAATTATAACTGACTCACTCCTCTTTCTCTCCTACTAAACCAGCTGTTCCCCTGGGGCAAGAGTTTCATCCCACTCATCTCCAGAACCCTGGCACATATGACCCCACAGTATGGGATGCAAAGTAGAAGCTCAGTGAGTGTGGACAAGAAAGACAGCAGGTGGACAGAGCTGCTACCCTCAAGGAGATTACAAATACCATGGGCAGACATGTACCTAAAATGTGTACTGCTATGTGGTGAGTGATCTGACTCTGCACAGAACACATGTGGAACAACAAAAAAGCAGATGATGAAGTGAGGAAGGAGTACATGAAGGAAGCTGGCCCGGGAGGCACCTGGATAGGCAAGAGAGAAAGATAAAGGGGCTGAGGGCATTCCACACCGAGGGGGTAGCATACACAAAAGCAGGAAGACAGCAAAGGGCATTTCAGGGAAGTGCAAAGAGCTCGGCTTAGCTGGCTGCATGATGGGACGGCAGGCAGGTTGGTACAGGCCGCTTGAGGAAGGAATTCAGACTCTCCCTTTTAGGGGATGCAGAAGGGCTGACTGTTTAAAGCACAGATCTAACAGGTTTTAGGAAGATGACTCTGATGGCAACAGAGAAACCGTGGCCTGGAGAAGCAAGGGAGTTAACAGCAGGCAGTCACACTGTTCCAAGGGCTAGCGCCAGAGGACAAAAGGGCAAGTGAGCATAGCTGGGTTTCTGGGCCTCTCGGCACAAAGCCACAAGTAACCAAACTCAGCTGATGGGAAAATGGTGAGAACACTAGGAATTCAGGTAGGAAACAAGAAACCCTAGGGACGCCTGAGTGGCTTAGTGATTGAGTGTCTGCCTCAGGCTCGGGTCATGATCCCACGGTCCTGGGATTGAGTCCCACATCAGGTTCCCTGCAAGGAGCCTGCTTCTCTCTCTGCTTATGTCTCTGCCTCTCTCTCTGTCTCTCTCTCTGTGTGTGTGTCTCTCATGAGTAAATAAATAAAATCTTTAAAAAAGAAAAGAAATCCATGGCTTAGGCCTGGGCTGTGGTCACTGACAAGCTACGTCAACTGTTCAACCTCACCCAAATCATGCAGCCTCTACTGCCTCCCCTGTAAAATAAAGCAAGTAAATTCACTTGAAGAAAATGTATTGAGCATATACTATGCCAAGAATACAAAAGTGAGTACAACGTAGGGCTTATCTTCAAGTTCAAAAAAGTAAAGGAAACAAAATAAGGTGGTAAGTGCCATAAAACAAGTTTTAAAAAAAGCTTCTTTTTGTTATGAAAGTAATTAATATATGCTTATTGGGGGGGGGGAAGCAAGTAAGCAAGCAACAAGCAGCCCTCAGTAACAGAGTAAATTAAAAAGATATTTATAAAGTAGTATATAAAATGAAGAGAGATGATAGGACAATTCATTCTAAAGAAGTTCCAATGAGAGAAAGCACAAGAGTTCTTTTAAAAGTATGAAGTATTTAAAAATTCACAGACTCACCCAGGGAAGTGTGTGCCCTCCTGCCTACCTCTGAGCCACCCACTCTGGGTGGGGAAGGGGCACCTATAACAAACATCTCCAAGAAGACAGCTTTTCTCCAAGAAAATTATCCATCAAAAGAATTTTCTAAAGAATGGATCCCAACAAAATTAATTTTTTATCGTTTAATAACCCAGTGGGTTTCTAAAAGGCTAATGAAGTGCATTTTTGGCTATGTTTTGTTTGAAACAAATATGGAGATATTCACAAAGCAAATGGCCACTATGTATATTTACGTCTGTCAGAATTTCATTTCAATACCAATAACTGTTCACTAAATTATATGGCTTCAGGAAAAACCTGTTCAATATCTATGAGAAATAGGATTAAATAACTGATTAATATCAACTTACTAGGAGAATGGGTAAAGGTTATGAAATAATTTATTAAATAAGTTTATTAATAAAATATAAAAATAGGTTTGACCTCACTAATAACCAAGAAAAAAAAAAAGGCAAAGCAAAGAACATCTGAATGTCCAAAAGCAATCAGTTAAATAACCCAAGGCACATTCATATGAAAAACTACTATGTTCTTATTTAATATTTTGAAATTGAGTAACAGAGAAGCTATGTAATACAATCTAAGAGAGAGAAATTGGATACAAAGCACTATAGATTCCATTTTGTAAAAGAAATAAAGAGAAACATAGAACATTAGCAGTAAAGAAGGATTTCTCCAAGTGGTAACAGAGGACTTGCTTTCTTTTTTAACCCTTTTGTATTTTCTAAATTTTCTTTTTTTTTAAGATTTTATTTATTCATTTATGAGAGAGAGAGAGAGAGAGAGAGAGAGAGAGAGAGGCAGAGACACAGGCAGAGGCAGAAGCAGGCTCCATGCCAGGAGCCCAACATGGGATTCGATCCCGGGACTCCAGGATCGCGCCCTGGGCGGCAGGCGCCAAACCGCTGAGCCACCCAGGGATCCCCTGTATTTTCCAAATTTTCTATAGTAATGTTCAGGGATTTTTAAGCAGAATAATAATTTTAGAAATAAACAGCATGAATTGATGACTTGAAATTTCCTGAGGGCAGGGAGCATAGCCTGCGTGCTCATCTAACACAGTGCTTAGCATATCACATATGCTCAGTAATTATTTGTGGAATAGACCAATGAGTGAGCAAAAATTTTTTAAATTTTTATATACTTTCAGACTTACAGAAGAGTTGTAAGATTAACACAAAGGATTCCCAGATGCCCTTCACCTGATTCCCCAAACATTACATATAAATCCTACACTGGATTTATCCTTCTCTCTAGACAGATATTTTCTCCTAATGGCTAAAATTAGCTCCTTTAAAAAGTCCTTCTTGAATGTCAGAAAAAAGGAGTGCAAAGATCACAGAAAATGCCAGAGATCCTATCTTGACCCAAGAAGTCCAACAACTCTGCTGCTTTTAATATATACGTTAATGTAGAGCTTCAAGTGAGGGATTTTACGTTGATGCATCACCGAAATTTCACATGAGCTATGAGCCTTCAACCATTTAATTATCAGGCAAGTCCTGAGAGGATTAGCAAGAAGAACATAAACCACTGAACCAAAACAAAAGGCAAACATATTTTAAAAGAAGGATACGTTCTAATAAGTCCAAATTTTGGAGGTCAAAATAAAAGTTAAGTTATACTTCTGACTTGAGCCAAATAGAAAGAAGCATCCTCAAGGATGAGATGGAGGGAGGGAAGGAGAGAGAGGCAGAAGAAAGAGAATAGAGAGAAAAAGTGGTCTCTGACAGTCTAGAAAGAAAAGAGTATGTTACAACTTAGCAGCAACAGACCTTCATTTAAGGTTTGGAAGGAAATGCTTTTGTGATTTTGAGTTTTAGTTGGTTTCTTTCTTGAATTTTCATTTTTTCAAGTAAATCTGATCTGCCAAAGAAGCAAATTTCTCCTGGCAGTATCAGACCGATCACCACATACACGAAAGAACTGGTGTCTGTGTTAAACACAGTCTTACAGAAGCTGTTAATGGCTTGATTTGAGTCTACAGCACTCAAGATATCAAAGCTACAGAATCTTGGAAAACAACAGTATTGGACAAACGAATTAAGAAATTCGTTTCTAGCCCTTACTATGAAGGTTGTTAAAATGTAGGTCATTCAAGAACATAAGGAAATAATTGGTATATGCTCAGGCCCTCAATAACAATTTCCTGCAAAAATTTAATTTAAACTAGTTATATTTCACTTTAAAGGTTATTCACAACTTGATTCTCACAAAGGAAAAGTATGATCCACTTATCTGGCACTGATAATTTCTCTATGACAGCATTATGTTGAGATGGAAAGGATGAAACACTGACTTCAAGTCTAAAACTATTTCCCTAGGGGATGCCTGGGCGGCTCAGTCAGTTAAGTGTCTGCCTTCAGGTCACATCATGATCCCAGGGTCCTGGGATGGAGCCCCACATCGGGCTCCCTGCTCAGTGGGGTGTCTGCTTCTCCATCTGTCCTTCCCCCTGCTCATGCTCTTTCTCTCTCCCACTCTCAAATAAATAAAAATATTTTTTTAAAAAAAAGTAATAAAACTATTCTCCTAAAAACACATTAAGCACTTGTGGTTTCAATTTCCTAAGTAAAAATGCATACCATGCCCCAAAGAGGCATCACATATTTTCAAAGACTGAAATAGGAGGCATTGAAAAAAAAGTGGGGGGCATTACTTATTGTGTCCATTGAATGTTGAAAGCCATTAAAAATAATGCTTTTGGCATACCTGACAATTCTTGTTTTACAAACGAGAGCACAGCCAGGTAAACTTGACAGTCAGCTATGATTATCTGCCTCTGAAGCCGATCAACCATAGAGGGGGCAGATTTTCGGGCATCAACCTGTTTGATGGAAAGAAAAGTACATGTTGATAAATCACACCCAAGAACAAGACACTATCCAAATAACTATTACTTTACTGTGCAAAAGAACTTCACGCAGGAACTGTAAGACAGGTGCACTGAAAGCCAAGACCAAATTTATAATGTATTCCCATGAGATCTACAATAGGATGAAGAACACTGCAACTCAAAGACAAATATCCTGAGTGAGAACAATCAAGCTTGTGGGAAACCATGAAAGTCAACACAGAAGTTCAGACTTTTACCTTTTTTAAAAACAATTTAAGTTCTTACCTATCCAAAATAAAAATTACTAAAGGTAGAAAATGTTTCCCAAAATAGAGAACCTGAAAAACCACTTTGCAGCCATCTACCTTTGTTCACGTAGGATGAACACTGGGGTTCATTCCCTATGTGCACACAACTGAGATGTGAGGGTCAAAAACGGATACATTTTAGTGAAGGAGAAAAGAGCTGAACTGAACTCAGAATTTAAGCCATACCTCTAAGGTTACTACCTCTATAAAAGAAGCAAAAGGTAAAACTAAAAAACACTTTTTTATAAAATGTTGGTCCTTATTATAATGTCTGTAATTTTAAAAAGTTTGCTCTGATAAAGAATACTGCATTTTTAATACAAAGTGAACTTGAACAAGATAATCTACATAGTTTTCATGGGCTTTCACAGTGACATAAGAACTGATAGGATCTTTGCAAATACGACAATAGCATATATACTAAACACAAAAGAATGAACTGTTTTCCTTTTTTTCTAGATTAACATAATCTACTATGGCCACTATTGTTGCAAATGCAGCCGCAGAACTCATTACTTTGCCTAGGCAAATGCCAGTTTATTAGTGCTTCTGTTTCTTTGTAATAACATCTACTGTGTAGGGTTGTTGGAAGGGGTAATGAGATACTGTATGTGAAGATGCTTTTTAAATTGCAAAGACCCATTACCAATGTTAATTCCTAACATATGTGTTAGGCATAGAATTAGATACTGAAGACAGACATATGAATAACTTACAGTCTAATGAGGGAACACTGACCTCATTACCATGTAATGCAGTTAAGTGCTCTGAAGGGTCAAGTACAGGATACTACGGGGATGAGTAGGAAACCTACTCAACATGGCTTTGGGGCTCAGGCAAGTGTCCTAGAAAATGATCTAGGAAGACCTACCTAAAGAAGGAGTAGGAATCAGGTCAAGAGGGAAGAGAACATTCTAGGCAAAGGACAAGGAAGCACCAAGTCAGCCACTGTAAGGAGTTTAGACTTCACTGTAATGGCAAGGGTTGGGACCAGGGACACGGAAAATGAAGCCAGCAACATATTTGCATTTTATACACTGTATCATTGGAGAATGAATCTGAGAACAGTGAGAGTTGTTGTAGGCAAATGGGGATGATGGTGGACCTAAGGAAATGGCAAGAGGGGGAGAGAAGTGGATGAATTCAGGAGGTATTCTAGAAAGAGAGGCAACAGGACTCTGTCCCTGATCAGATGCAGGGTTTGCAGAAAGAGTCATCAAGGAGACCTCTGGCCCTTCTGGACCATCAGGAGCCAGTCCTCTTGGCCCGAGTGGCTTCCTCATGGTGGACACCATTAGCAAGAGCAGAGATGAAGCAAGTTGGACACAAAGGAGCCAAAGAAAAGATGGGCAGCTTTTGAGGACTGTAAACAGCTTCTGACTGGTTTGTCAGCTCAACAGGTAACACCTGCAAGACCCCTGGGCACTCCAGAATTATCAGGGGTAGGAGGATGCCTCGCCAAAGACTAGACTTTTGCACTGAAAGGTGAAAGCACAATCAGGGAAAGTGAAATACAATGTTATTTTGACTTTATTTGTAACCAAAGGCTGGTAAGTCCTGCAAAAAATCAGATAGATAGCCAGATCCCTCAACTATGCCAAAATGCAACATATTTGAATTATATATGCACGAAAGTCTCATCACAAAAGCTCTTAGCACATGGCCCATTAAGGAAGAAGATAATCTTAAGAAGGCAAAAGAATTACTGCACCAAATGGCTCTGATGACTGATGGGGCAGGTGGGGGTGGGGCTCTATGGTTTTAAAAAATACATTTTACATAATCAAACATGTGAGAAACACACATTGTGCTTTGTCATAGCCAAAATATCAAAAACCAAGTAAGTGAGCAATGATCTCAGTCAGTGGCACTCTGTTCACAACCTAAAGACTCAGTGCTTACATTCTTCTTAATTTTATTCTTGATAGTTTCAATTACTCCAGCCTCTTCACTTTCACACAGCTTCTCTGTCGTCTTTAAGTCATCACACGCCAACTGCATTTTTTCTTCTTCAAATGTCATCATGGCGTTCTTCCAAGAAAAAAGTAAGGAAAGAATGAATGAATCAGTAAGCAATGGAAAATTTAAGTGATTTATTACAACAAAATCCCAAGCTAGGAGAAAAAAAAAAAAAAACATTCAAATTATTTGTTGCGAGTAAAAAGAATTGGAATGTTACAGTGAGCCCTAATCATTTCCAAAGACTATAATCTCAATATAAAATAAGAATATACCGGGCAGCCTGGGTGGCTCAGCGGTTTAACACCACCTTTTAGCCCAGGGCCTGATTCTGGAGACCTAGGATTGGGTCCCACGTCGGGCTCCCTGCATGGAGCCTGCTTCTCCCTCTGCCTGTGTCTCTGCCTCTCACTCTCTCTCTCTCTGTCTCTCATGAATAAATAAATAAAATCTTAAAAAAAAAAAGAATATACCTCTATCACACCTACATGAAAAAATAGAAGGTAATAAAAGTTCTTGCAATTACTGTTCTATGACCTTTTTTTGTTGCTATCCAACACAGTAACCAAAGCCCTGTAAAATTTCTGACTGGTCTACTTCATTCAGGTGGTTTTTGTTTTTTTGTTTTTAGATTGTATTTATTTATTCATGAGAGAGCAGGGGGGGGCAGAGGGAGAAGCAGGCTCCATGCAGGAAGCCTGATATGGGACTCAACCCCAGGACTCCAGGATCACGCCCTGGGCTGAAGGCAGGCACTCAACCGCTGAGCTACCCAGGGATCCCTCACTCAGGTTTTATAGCGGTGTCCCACTGCAAAGTTCATTCTGCCCACACGTGGACCCCTGGCTCCATCAAGTACTGTGCTAATGAAACGTCAGCTGTAGGTAGGTCTTGGAAAACACCGGTCTTTTCAAGGACAGCAATTTCAATGGGTTCTCTTATTTGGAATTATATAACACTGTCCATGGTGAAAAATTTCACTGACAGCCTGGTAGATTTTTCCAGGCCATAACTGATTGGGTAGGGGCAACCCTTTCCTGCCAAAAACCTGATACTTTCACCAGTGGAACAGAGATTTCTGAGGTTATGGATGAGTCATAGCAGCAGAGACATGACACTTGGCTCTTGGAATGCTTAAAGAACTCATTGGAGCTGGCTCTCCACCATGCCCTATCCATTCAGCAAGCCCTCCCCTTGGCATTCGAGGCCTCCTCCTTGGTAAGACTGCAATATATTCTCCCCCTGTAGCCAAACTAGATCACAGCCACCACCTTTGCCCAAGCACCCCACTGCTGGGCAAACAGACTCCAGCCTTGCCACAGCATCTCTCCCCACCTTTCTCCTCCACCCAGCCAACCCTCACTGACTTTGTAGTTAAGTGGGTACTCATGTGATTTCCACAGAGTACTGTAAAGTCCGATGATGCTATGTTTTCTTATCAACAGCAAGCCTTAAAAATTTGTGTTGAATCCCCTGGCAAAAAGAGGAAATAAATAGTTTGAATGAAAATCATGTCACCAGAAGCTGGCCTGGTACCTGAGGCTGGGCACTGGCAGCCTGCACAGGACACACCAGTTTGTGGACATCTTCCTAGATCTGAAATCCAAATTTTTTTTCTATTTTACTTCACTTGATCTCTACACAATATTGACTGTAAATATATATACACACACACAGACACACACACACATATATTTGCTATTTTACCATTCTATGATAGCTTTTTTAAATTATGTATTTGAAAGTGATTTATACGTGATGTTATATGTATTTCTGGAAAAGAGCATCCAATTTTCTACTTTAAACACCTAACTGCAACCTATTCCTTCAATTCCTAAATACTAATATTTAAAAATATAATAGGAACTAATAAATTTCAGCTCTGCTAATTTAACTTGCTTTCCAGTCCATATATAATAATTTTAGAGCAAACCTTTAGTATCCAAAGTCTGACCTTTTCTTTTCTTTTTTTTTTTTTTTTAACTGCTAACGCAGGGACACCTGGGTTGCTCAGTAGTTGAGCATCTGCCTTTGGCTCAGGTCATGATCCCTGAGACCTGGGATGGAGTCTCGCATCAGGCTCCCTGCAGGGAGCCTGCTTCTCCCTCTGTCTATTTCTCTGCCTGTCTCTTATGAATAAATAAATAAAATTTTTTTTAAAAATCGCTAATGCAGTTTTATTTTTTGGAAAGGTCTTTCCAAATTTATTTTTATTTAAAAAAATTGATTGGGGAAACACAGTACTCTGGAAATAAAATACGCATTTTATTTTTTATTTTTAAGATTTTATTTATTTATTCATGGTAGACATAGAAAGAAAGAGAGAGAGAGAGAGAGGCAGAGACACAGGCAGAGGGAGAAGCAGGCTCCATGCCGGGAGCCAATGCAGGACTCGATCCCAGGACTCTAGGATCACACCGCGGGCCAAAGGCAGGCGCCAAACCACTGAGCTACCCAGGGATCCCCAGCATTTTATTTTTTACATTGAGGAATACAAGATATCTCACAGGTCTTGACTGATATGCAAAACTTTATTCCACTTTTAAATGCTAAAAGATGTGTATCTATAGGGGGGCCTGGGTGACTCAGTCGATTAAGTGCCCGACTCTTGATTTCAACTCAGGTTATGATCCCAGGGTCATGGGATGGAGCCCCACATCAGGTTCTGTGCTCAGCAGGGAGTCTGCTTGAGATTCTCTCTCTCTCCTTCTGCCCACCCCCTCCAACCCTGCATGAGCATGTGCTTTCTCTAAAATAAATAAATCTTAAAAATAAAAAATTATAGATCTGTATTTATACAGCTAGCAACTTTAAGACATACTTTATATACCTGTTTCTTTCACACCAATACCTCTCCCCATACCAACTTACCAAAAAACTGACGAAGCTGGCTCCGAAACTCATTAATGGGCTATGATTTCTGTTAAGGAAACAAAATAAAATTATTTTTAATGTATACTTTTTATAAACATTTGATATATTAGGAACATTATAGATTCCTAATAATTGGACAGACAGTAAGGTCTTAAAGCTGATAAAATTACACTAAGAAAGAGGCACCTGTGTGGCTCAATCAGTTAAGCGTCTGACTTGATTTAGGCTCAGGTCATGATCTCAGCATCATGAGATAGAGCCCTGAGCCAAGCTTTGTGCTAGAAGTGGCACCTGCTTGAGATTCCCTCTTCCTCTGCCGTTAATCCCCTTTCTCTCCCCTTCTCTCAAAAATGGAAAGGGGAAGGTGAAAAGGAAGGGGAAGGGAAGAGGAGAGAAACCTGGCCAATTCTTCAAAGCAAGGTGCACAAGAAAGTCAAATTATAACAAGAGATTGCTTTAAGTAAACCAACCTGACATCTGCAAACATGTGACCAAGAGAAGATGATTAATATTCATTTTTAAAAATGCAAAATATATTCAAAACTTTACACACATAAAATACCATTTTTAAAGTAGATCAGAGGGTTTTACCAGAGCCAACCTTGCAAATTCACTCATTCCATCTAAAGAACTTCAAGAATGCCTCCCTAGAGTCAGACACTCTCCCACTGTAATACAGTCATTAGTGAATTACATACGTAAGCCAAAAAGAAACCAAATCAAACTACCAATTCAAAAGATACAGGAATATAAACTTTCCACTTCAAATTCACAACCAGTACAAAATCTAAATCTCTATAAATTGCGCTAAAAGAGAAAACAAATGGTAATTGCCTTCTTAAAGAAAAATAACTATACTGATTTTTTAATTATGTAGATAGCATATGGTCATCCTAAAAAAGGAAAGAATAATGCATTTAGTCAATCCCCTACGGAAATTTAGTTTGGGTCCAAAGGGAGTGTGTGTTTGGGGGTGGAAGTGGGGAGGACATGCACATTTATATGTATATGTACATATACACATATATCCAATATGTGTATCAGATGAGCATCTTTGTCCATATATCTCTTCAGGCAAGTCCAAATACGTTCTTGGGATAAATTGCTAGAGATGGCATTCCTGAGTCAAACAGTATGCACATCCATTTTCATCTTGGAGGCAGAGGGGAGGGAGGGAGAGAGAGAAAGAGAGTAGAGGGAGTAGGGAAGGAGAAGACGCAGTAAGGAACCTGATTTATTTGGAATATTAGCTTTTTGCTACATTTTTTCCCCATCTATTTAGTACTTACTCAAATTCTACAATGGATAATGATTTGTTTACCCTCACCTAATAAGGATATTAAACTAACAAGAAAAAAAGCAGGAAGATCAACTCATTAGTGAGGAATGCCCTGCTAGCATTCACGTCCATAAGCAGGCTGAAGCAGGGCATCCAGAGAACACTGTGGAGTCAGCCATCCCTCCTCTGCAGCAGAGCAGATGCCAATCTTCCCAGCCCACAGCTCTGCATGGACATACCACGACAGCCTCTCAACCTAATTTGGTTTGCCTATATTGTCCCCTCTAGGATGTCATTTTCTGCCTCTTATTCCTTACCATGCCTTACACACAACAGGCATTCAACAATTATGAATCAGTGAAGGAATGAAAGACAGAGAACCCTGCCTTTCAGGAACATTTTAATTAAGCCCTGATGAGTATGGCTTTTCCCCTTTCCTTGCTTATATGTTAGCTACTTGGTCATCTGAAAAATGAAAGCAGCTGAAACCAGGGCCTGGTGTTGCTATATGTGCTTCTTGTTCTTGACTAAAATTAGGTTTCTGAGAGCCAAGGCTATTAATTATTCATGGTATCCTAGCCTCACCCTCAGTACTTCACATACCATCATAGGTGAAAAAACAGCCCAGTGGGAACCCTCTTCCCTCTCCGATGTACAGTCTCTCTGCAAACTCCACAGCATCTGGTACATTAGACAGTGTACGTGGTATAATAAACCGATCAATAAACACACACTCGCTCATATGCTGCACAAAGACCTGCTCTTTTAAGAATTTAACAAGTTTCCCTTGACTTTTTAAGCCTATGTTAATTTATCTCATCTTGATTATTTTGGCCCACAGATGTGTTTCTACATAAAACTTACTCATTTTGGGGATTTGGAAATGTTCCCAAAGAATACAAGTATTACTTTAAAGCTGAAGCTAAGAAAAGAGAAGGAAAAGGCTCCTAGCTCACCTCAATATGCTCATATTGGGAACCAATAAATGTTGACCCAAACAGGAGGGCAGTGAGGGTATTATGTAAAGACTGAACATAAAGGTAAGCATTAGAACCAAAATGCAGGGGATCCCTGGGTGGCTCAGTGGTTTGGAGCCTGCCTTTGGCCCAGGGCGTGATCCTGGAGTCCTGGGATCGAGTCCCACATCAGGCTTCCTGCGTGGAGCCTGCTTCTCCCTCTGCCTGTGTCTCTGCCTCTGTCTCTCGTGAATAAATAAATAAAATCTTAAAAAAAAAAAAAAAGAACTAAAATACAAAGCTTCCTAAATACTAGAAGACATAAAAGTGAACAGAGGTGAGGACAAGCAAAATATATTAGATGGTATAAACCTCCCTTATTTAAAAGAAGGAAGGATATAAATATAAAGATATATACAATTTGCTAATTTTGAAAAGGAAGTTGGAATAACCTATGCATTTAAAAAAAAAAAAAAAGGATACCTAACAAGGTGAGATAAGGAATAGGGAAGAAGAAACAAGGATAGAAACAAAGCTTTTTTGTAGATACTTTGTTTTGTAGTTTAGACTTCGGAACTATGTAAATATTGCCCATAATATCAAATTTTAATAATGCGATCCCTAAAATGTAAAATTAATGCAAATCCAGCTGGTAAAATAACCACACAGAACTATTCCAAGTGACATTACAACATAATAATCTGACAGTGCATTTTTATTATGAAATACCCTTAAAAACAGACCGTAGAAGATGGTAAAAAATTTGTTTTCAGTAATCATATTCTCACCAGTGAACTTGGTATTGTCATCCTAAGGCTGCTGGGGATGTAGTTTATGATAAAGCAACGCATAGGTATGTTGGTGTTTGTTAGGACTCAGGGCTTTGTGCACCGGAAAAAGAATTAAGTTAATTAAAAATCCTATAGTCTAGAATATGAACTTACTGGTTTTATCTCTAAAAAAATACATATTTTCTGTCTACTGAAAAAGCCTAGAAATAACACCACCAGTAGCACTGAGCATGCCCAGCACCCTCTTTAATACATTAGGTAAAAGAGACTGTGGCTTCTTGAAGAAATGGCTGATTCCAGGTCAAGGGTAAGAAATGTTCAAGAGGAGCATGGAATATAGGAGAAAGCAAGGAAGCTTAAAAATTATATTAGGTTCTTAAAGATATTCCCACTATGCAAACATGGAACAATCTAATCCCTAATGAGGGTAAAAACAGCAATGGATTGAAACCTCAAATAAGATTAAACTCTAAGTTCATAATGGTACTCTTAATTAAAAAAAAAAAAAAAAAAAAAACACCTCCCTGTTTGCCTATGGAAGATCCTAAGGAACCAACTCATTGTTTTGGAAACTGATTTTAACAAAAGAGAAGAAATAACCATTTACCCTGTCTTTTCTCTGAGGACTCAGATTAATGAATTAGTTGGGTGGGAGGGCAGTCTTTTTACATAAATATCCTGGGATAATAAATGAGAAGCAAAGATAGAATCAATGTTTCATTTTGCAGCTCCTAATGGAGTAATGGATATGGGCACTGACCATAGAGAGAAAGGAACATATTAAATACCACCATGCTGATATAATCAGCAATATCCAAGCTATGGGATACCACAGAACAAAAATCCTAGACTCACCAGCAACACTAAAAAAGTATATGGGGGGCCAAAAGAACTGAAAAAGAATTTCTGAAATAAAAGGTATAAAATACAACAGACACTTAAAGACACAGACACATCAAACTATATACATATATACACACATGCACACATAAACACATATATACAAACCAGTAACAATTACAATATGAAACAAAAATCACAATAGCACCAAATCACTAATTATCTAAGGATGCATCTAACAAAGATGTGTAATACTGCTGCACTGAAAACTCAAAACATTACTAAAAAAAATAATAATAATAAAAGACCAGGGTTTCTTAACACTTTGGGTCAGATTTTTTTTTCTCGTGGGGGCTGTCCTATGAGTTGTAGGATGTTGGGCAGCATCCCTATCTTCTATCTATAAGATGCCAGTAGCACATGCCACTCTTCCACCACAGATGTGACAACAAAAATGTCTCCAGACACTGACAAATATCCTCTGGGGGCAAATCAACCTGAACTGAAAACCACTAATCTCAATACAGAGATATACAATTTTTATGGGTTGGAATCCAGTATTGTTAATTTCACTTAAACTGAACTGTAACTTCAATGCAATCCAAAGCAAAATCTCTCTCTCTCTGTGTGTGTGTGTGTGTGTGTGTGTGTGTATTGAAAAGTTGATTCTAAAATCTACATGGGAAAGAAAAAACAAAATGGCCAAATCAAATGTGAGGAACAATGACAAAGCTGGATACCTGAGATCAAAACTTAATTAAGAATTTCTGTTTACCCATTAGAGATTTAAAAAGACAAATCACAGACTAAGAGAAAAAAATTAAATACACTTATCCAACAAAAAGCACATCCTCAGAATATGTAAAGAATTCCCATGAATCAGTAAAAAATGACTACCCTGGCAAAAGTCTTTAATAGGCATGACACAAAAGAGTTTATCTTCAAGTCAATACGGTAATTATTAAAAGGTGCTGAAAAGGAAACACTTTGTTTATCAGGGAAATACAAAGTAAAGCCACAGTGAGATACCACAACTCTCCCATCAGCTTGGCCATAGTTGCAAGGACTAACAATATCAAGCGTTAATGAGAATGTAAAATAACTAGCACTCTCCTACGTGGCCCTGCAATATCTACGAAAGCTAAACATGTGCTTTCCCTGTGATCCAGTAACTGCGCTG